ACGAGCATGACTTGACCTTCCGGTGAATTGTTTCGTCCACCGTCTAGCCTTCTTCTCTTCCGCAAGAAGTTTACCAGTGACTTCAGAAAATATAATTTTCTCCTTCCCATGAATCAAGATCGGCTTCATGTGTTCATAAGAAGTTGGAAGAGACCAGATGAGTCTCAACGCCTGATCCTCATCATCAATCTTCACTCCAATGGATTCCAACTCCGAGACGATCCCATTGAGAATGCTTAAGTGGTTTGAGATGCTTTGACCTTCAGTCATTCGCCGTGTGTGAAACTGCTCCTTCAGATACACCCGATTTGAGACGCCTTTAGCCTGATACAACTCCTCAAGCTTGTCCCATAATGCTTTTGCCGTCGAAATTCTATGCACATTAGCAAGAACATTCTTGGCCAGACACAGTCGTATCGCGCTTGCCGCTCTCAAATCCAGTTCCTCCCAATCTTCATCGCTCATTCCAGATTTGCTCACACCAGCTTTTTCTTCAGTGCTGCTGGTAGCACTGCCTTTGGGAATTTTCGAGCCCTTCAAAGCTTTGTGTAACCCCGACTGAATCAGCACGTCCTTCACTTGCACTTGCCACAAGCCAAAGTTGATTTTTCCGTCGAATTTCTCCACATCAAATCTCGCCAGATTCGATATCTTATTTCCAGACATCTTCGTGAATCAGTGAACACTAACTTCGCAGAAAACCGAGCAGCAACCTTTAATAGTACTAATCAGATAAATTCTCAGGGAGGGTAGCGACCTGCCCCCTAAAGAATTACCCTTCTAAGTAAGCTCCCAGGAAAGGCTGGTGGGGTCACAACGGTCCCACTTAAAAAACCAGTCTCCTAGACAGAACCTACTTACACAGTAATTATTCCCCACTGCCCAAAAAAAACTCCTCTGCACACAAGCTCCACCCGTCACTGGCTCCACCGCACGAAGAGACCTCTTTGGTATCTTTTCTGATGTGGAAGATCAGACAAAACTGCAACCACAGAGCATACTCAGAATACCAACTAGGCTAATCTCGCTCTTGATACCACTTGTTGGGAATTCCGACCACACCGAAACTCCGCCCAAGATCCGCTAGAAATAATAAAACTGGAGAACACAAAGTTTAACGTGGAAAACCCTCTGTTAACGAAGAGGGAAAAACCACCAGGGCAACAAGGCCGTAGAAAATCCACTATGTAAAAATTACACAATTTTTCTACACTCACTTATACCCAAAATTACCCCACAGAATTTTCTATCCGTTAACCTTAACTCTCACCCTAAGGGATTTTTAAATAGAGATTAATTGTTAACACAATAACTCTGTGGGATGATTTTACATAAGAAGTAGCACTTTCTTATATAGGGGAAAACTCCCCTCCTCTCTCATCCCACTTCCGATGTGGGACAAAAGAGCAAAAACATAACACCACCAAGTTCTGCCGTCCCGGTTAATAGGCGATCTCGAAATCGAACCCCATCAGCTTTGATACAAATTTTTGTTGCTCTGGGGTCACTATGCGTTGCTCTAGCAAATGCTTCAGAGGCTGTTGATCCGTCAAAATCATGAAATGTCGACCCAAAAGATACGGTCTCCAGACCCTTACTGCTTCAATGATGGCGAGCATTTCTTTCACGTATACTGACCACACAATGCGCATGCTTCCCAGTGCCTTGCTTAAATATGCGATCAGTCGGTTCTCTTGTGAAAGTACGACCCCAATTCCTATATCACTGGCATCGGTGTATACCTCAAACATGATGTCAAATTTAGGCATGGCTAAGCCGGGAGTAGTAGTCATGGCCAATTTGAGTTGTTCAAACGCCTTTTCACTTAACACTGTCTATTTGAATCCTCCCTTTTTGGTCATGTCCGTTAAGGCTTACCAATCGAACCATAATCCTTGACAAATTTCTCGTAATAGCCGGTTAGTCCCAAGAATCCTCTCAATTCTGTCAAAGTCTTCGGTTTTGGCCATTCCTGCATTGCCTCAATTTTTGGGGGATCCACCTTCACGCCCTCATATAAAATTATATGCCCCAAGTATTCCACCAATCCTTGGCCAAATGAGCACTTAGACGGTTTAATGTGAAAATCATTCGCCGCCATAATTCTCACTACCAATTTCAAATGCTCAAGATGCTCATTCCAGGTTTTTGAATATATCAATATATCATCAAAGAATACCAAGACAAATTTTTGCAGGTACTCATGAAAGATGGAGTTCATAGAAAATTGAAAATTCGACGGGGCATTACAAAGGCCAAAGGGCATTACCAAATACTCGTAGTGTCCTTGATGAGTGCGGAATGCTGTCTTCAGAATATCTTCTTCCGCCACCCTTATCTCATGATACCGTACCCTAAGGTCTAGCTTGGAGAAATATTGGGATCCTCCGAGCTCATCAAACATATCGTCAATGCTTGGAATTGGAAACCGATCCTTGATAGTTGCCGCATTCAATGCCCAGTAGTCCGTGCAGAAATGCCATGTACCATCCTTCTTTTTAGCCAGTAGAACGGGAGAAGAGAATGGGCTCGTACTGTGCCTAATTATTCCGGTATCAAGCATTTCTCGGACTTGTTTCTCGATCTCCGTCTTCTACAAAGTGTGCATATCGATAGGGGTGAACATGTACCGCCTAAGTCTCATCCTTCAAAGGAATATGGTGATCGAAAGTTCGCCTTGGAGGAAGACTCTTAGGTTCGTTCATCACCTCATCAAACTGGTCTAGTAAATTTTGTATCTCCCAATCATGAGGTGGCTTAGTCTCGATCTCTTCCTCTGCTTTATCCATCTTGATAGCAAAGAGTTGGCTACCCCCTTTTCACAGTTTCTCCATATTCTTCAAACTAGCCTTCTTTGCTCCTTCGTTAACTCCGGCAGAAAACTTGACTATTTCGTTGCCCCAACAAAATTCCATGGTACCAACCTTATAATCGGTAGTTACTGGCCCCAAGCCTTCCAACCATTGCACACCTAACACCACATGTGGTCCAACTAACGTCAACACATAAAGATCAGCTTTTAAAGTTACCCATTTGTACCTTGATAGGCACATCTTTCAATATTTCCGAACACCTCAATCGGTCCCCATTGGCTACCCTCACATCAAAAGGATCTACCTTAGTCATCGGTAGATTCAGCTTATTGGACAAAGTAGAGTTAATGAAATTGTGGGATGAACCGTTATCCACTAGCACCACCACTCTTCGACCTCGAACCCATGGCGACAATCTCATTGTCTTTGGTCCTTGAGTTCCTGCCATCGCGTTACCAAAATCTCGGGATCATCTACTTGTACCTCGGTGTCATATTTAGGCTCGTCTTTATCATCTTCCTCTTCCACAATATCCTCGGATTCAATTAAGAAGGACTGCTTCACCTTACACCCATGCCCGGGTACGAAACAGATGCAGAACCAAGCTTCATGTTAGTGCAGCAGGTTCCCACGGGCCCTGCCACGCCGCGGAGGATGACGCGCCATGCTGCTTCGCCACCTTCCCGCCGTGACCTTCACCATGGAAGGACAGAGAAGGCCAACAACAAACCACCACGCCGTGGAGAGCTTCACGCCGCGAGCCTCGCCGACCACCACGCCGCGGAGAAGAACGTGAAGGATCCCGCGGGCGGACAGAGACACAGAATTTCCCAGCCACGTCGTGAAGGACGCTGCGCCACGACACTGGACCCAAGCACTGCGCCGTGATGAATGCCACGCCGTGGAGGAGTGAAAGACGGGACACAACAGTTCTTTTTTTTAGCAGTTTTCTTTTATTATTTTAATTATTTCCTTTGTAGTTTGAGTTGGTTTCCTAGTAGCAGTAGGAGTTATTTTCTTTTCCTAGAAGATAAAACGATTGTACTAGGTAGAACATCATCATCTTTGAATAACATAAATCTGAAAAAGCTCGTTCTGAGACCAAAATCTCGTGTCAACCGACGACCAATTAGCGCGGGTTTACACATCTTCTTCGTTATTTTCTTATAATCGATACACGATCGTAACATTGTTGCTTTCATTGAGAGATTATCGATCGTGTATCGGAATTAACGAAAACAACAAAAAAGATGTGTTAACCCACGCTAATTGGCCGTCGGTTGACACGAGATTTTGGTGCTCAAAACGAGCTTTTTTTATTTATGGTATTCAAAGATGATGATGTTCTAGCCAGTACAATTGTTTTATCTGCTAGGAAAAGAAAATAACTCCTACTGCTACTAGGAAACCAACTCAAACTGCAAAGGAAATAATTAAAATAATAAAAGAAAACTGCTAAAAAAAGAACTGTTGCGTCCCGTCTTTCTCTCCTCCACGGCGTGGCATTCATCACGGCGCGGAGCTTGGGTCCGGTGTCGCGGCGCAGTGTCCTTCACGGCGTGGCTCGGAAATTCTGTGTCTCTGTCCGCCCGTGGGATCCTTCACGTTATTCTCCGCGGCGTGGTGGTCGGCGAGGCTCGCGGCGTGAAGCTCTCCGCGGCGTGGTGGTCTGTTGCTGGCCTTCTCTGTCCATCCGTGGTGAAGGTCACCGCGGGAAGGTGGTGAAGCAGCACGTCGCGACGTCCTCTGCGGCGTGGCAGGGCCCGTGGGAACCTGCTGCATTAACATGAAGCTTGGTCTTGCATCTGTTTCGTTTCTGGCCTTCTTGAGTGGAGCTCGTCGGGCCCGATTGTACGCGTTTTTGAGGATACATCCTTCATTCTCATCGGGGTGTTTAGAATCTCTTCTGTCCTCCCACTAGATTCGACTTTTGGCTGACGTCTAGTTGTAGTCACATGTTCTATTTATTAATTTCTTTGTTTCCCCCAAAAGAAAAATAAATAAATAAATAAAAACATTTTAAGTAAAAATATCATTCATGTTGGTAAGCCATTATGTCTGTTGCCTCTTCAATCCACCGTCCCTCGTCTCTCTCATTTCTTCACATAATTCTTCTGCTAATTTCATGATCACCTCCGGCGAACACCGGCTATCGTCGGCAAATTCCCCGTAGAAACGATTACTCCGATGAATTCTCGGCAACAGCTCCTCGACTCTCTCACCGCCCACATCTCCCTCTACCATTCCCAAACCCCCTACCGTTTCCCGAACTCGAACCCAAATCCCCGATCCTCCGTGCTCCGATGGTTCTCCTCTCTTTCGGTGAACCAACGCCGCGCCCACATGACGGCTATCGATCCGAGCTTCATCGCCATCCTTCTCCAGATGAAGGGGAAGCTCCGATCGAACGGTGCCGGGCGCTTCATCATCCTCTCCGACCTCCCTCAAAATAATGATTCTTCCATGCCCACGCTCTGCTATCGGAAATCAGAGGGGTTGGTGTCCCGATTTGCTGAGTTCAGTTGCGCCCAGCGCGTGATTCACGAGTCGGTCGAGCTGTTCAGCTCAACGGAAGGTGAGAGGGATGTTAAAGGGGACGCGAATGGATTTCCATGTCTTGATGCAATGTGTGTGGCCGAGGGTTTAGTGTCTGACGTGAATCAATTTGTTGAGGTCATGGATGAGATCACAAACGGGGAGTTTTTAAGGGGAGGGGATGAGGGGGAGATGGCTGGGGACTGGGTAGAGCTGGGGTGGCTGAAAGCAAAGGGCTATTACAGCTTGGAAGAGTTCGTTGTGAATAGAATTGAGGTTTCTTTGAGGCTGTCCTGGTTGGGCAGTAACAGCGGGAAGAAAAGAGGTGTGAAGTTGAAGGACAAAGTTAGTGCGGCCGGTGTTGCTGCAAATGTGTTCTGGAGGAAGAAAGGGTGCGTGGATTGGTGGGAGAAGTTGGATGGGTGCGTGAAGAAGAAGGTTTACAGTGCATTCCTGGGAAAAGCTGCAGGAAAATTGGTATATAATTATGTTTAAAGACTGAATTTTGTTGTCTATGTGTATTCAGGTGTTATTTTTGAATGTTCATGTCAATGGAAGTGAAACGAGCTGTAGTTTATTGGATTTTGTTTGCAATTAAATTATAGGTTTCTGCCCGTCCGTTGTCATTTAGTTATTAAATTCGCAGTCTGACTTCGCATTATTGCAAAAGCTGATTATATAGTTAAGGGAGAACTTTCCTTTCTGGTTAAAAAAATGTGGATCTATGATGAGCAAGATAAGTAAATGTTTGTGGATTTGTAGGCAAACTGAGACATTTTTGCTGGTAGTTTATGATCTCAGCTTCAGTTCATTGTGTCGCCGTATATTCCAATTAGTGTATGAACACCCACGCGCGTCGTGGATATTAGATAGAAAGAAGGTTTTATTTGTCGTTTACCCGTGTTGTTCTCTTGTTGAAGGCGTGGCTGATATCTTGTTATTGCATTTGCAGACAGATGATATAGTAAAGGGAAACCTTCCCTTCTTGGATGATAAAATGTGGTGCCTTAATGATCAAGAAAAACTAATGCAAAGACGCGATTCTTCTTTCGTCGGGACACGGAATATTGCAACATGCAGAAGAACATATCCAAAAACAAAATCGAACGACAAACATGTGACTGTTCCTCAGAAGCTGTCTCCATTATACTACATCTTCAACAGTTTGTATATTCTTCAGATTATTTGCAATCTGCTATCTGCAGCTCAGTGTGGTGAATATAATAAGCTTTTTTTTAGCCCTCTGGACTCCGTAAGTAGCATATCAGACGTCATGCTAAGAAAGTTCCGAGATTTTCTCATGGTTATTTCACTTGACTGCACAAAAATTGAGTTATTAGGGGAAGGCACTAAGGCTCTTACCAAAAAACTAAATAACAAACCTGTTACACCTAGCCGTAAGAAAAAAGGGAAGAACCAAAACAAAAAGTCCAATCCCATTCCAAGATCTTGTCAAGATGATCCAAAACGTGCAAACCCTACTGAGGTAAATAATGTGACACTCAAGCAGGTCAGGTAATATTGCTTTTAGAATTGAAAGACTCTTGTATTGCTAAATGTTAATCAGCTCCAATTCGTGTTACAGGGAGAAGGGGATGAAGTGTTGTGTACAAGCAATGGCGTTGACAGACATCCAAGCAAGTTTGACTGTGAAGTGCCACATCCAAGAAAGTTTGACTGTGAAGTGCCAAAAAAGGATCTCGTTAGAGAGGTTCTCTCACCTGCAGATGCAATGGTTGTGCTTGTTTTTCCTTATGCATAGACGCTAGTAGACACGAACGATGTATTGTCTCTAACACTTGCTCATCAGCAGGAATCTGTTAAAGGAGTGAATAATGGAAAATTTCGAGGTGCTCCCAGGAAGAGTAGGAAAGAAAGAAAAAAGTATAAAAGCTCTGGTCCCAATGGCTCAGAAGTTAGTAGTTGCGAATCAAGATGCACTAGAGTTTCCCCTGCCTCCGTTAGCTCTCAACCTGGACCTCCCGTGCCTGATTTGGCCATGGGATGTTCAACTTTTAAGAATGTGACAAGTAATGGTGGGATTCAGATTAACAGGCTGGATGCAAATCCAATGCTGTGTAGCAAGTTAACTGATGATAACCCTGGTAACGTTTATTCTACTGAAACTGATAGTCACCTCTGCGTGAAGCATCATCCAGATATAAGTGATGCAGTCCTAAGTGGCTCTGAAACCACTCGACATAATTCTTCAAAATGTGATCTGGATTCTTGTGCCAAAACCTGCGATCCTGCTGTTGAATATAATGACAAGATGTGCACAAGAGTCGTTAGCGGTCGAAATCCTACCACTGGTTATTTGGGCAAACTTTCGAGAGGTGGTGAAGAGGTAAAACCCCCTCTGGTGCAGGAGAATGGAAGTCTTGGTGTCCTTAGAGTTGGGACCATGAGTTCACCAGCATACGTCTCTTATGAGTGGCCCAATGTAGCCCCCTTTCACCCATCGACTAACGCACACCGCCCTGCAACCACCGACAGGTTGCATCTAGACGTTGGTCACACATTGCAAAATAATTTCCACCATTCTTTTGTACATACTGTACAAGTAAGAAAGTCTCCTATTGACAATAATGGCTACAATGGCATTTTATCCAGACCTCTTCCAATGAGTTTAGATTGGCCTCCCGTGGTGCGTGGTGTTAACAGAATTGTCCCATCAGTTACCTCCAATTATGATACTGAGTTCATTTCGAGGCGCCAGTCTCGTTTTCAGCAAGGTGTCACAGGTCAAAATTTTCATTGTGGTGTGGATTCTGAGGATGAAAGGACCATTTCCAGTGACTTGATTGACTTTCCTGATGTTCCGATTCCACAGGAACTGGTGGAAGAGCATGATAAAAATTGGATGTCTGAAGAAGAGCTAGAGACACATGCAGTTAGCGGAATGGATTACAATCAGTATTTTGGGGGTGGTGTTATGTATTGGAATCCTTCTGACCATCCAGGGACCAGCTTCTCACGCCCTCCTTCTCTTTGTTCAGACGATAGCTCCTGGGCTTGGAGAGAAGCAGACATGAACAGGGCTGTTGATGATATGGTTGCCTTCTCCTCTTCTTACAGCACAAATGGTTTGACCTCTCCATCTACTGCTTCTTTTTGCTCGCCATTTGATCCTCTGGGTCCGGGGGCTATCGGTTATGTTATGCCTGGAGGTGAAATTAGCAACAAGGTTCTGCATTCTTCCTCGACAATGAATGACGGTGGTGCGGAGGAGAGTGTCTCAGGATCTATGTCCAATATTTCAGGTGATGGAGAAATGAAGACCGTAGATTCCCATCCATACCCTATATTGAGGCCGATAGTTATTCCGAGTATGTCGAGGGATAGGTCAAGATCAGAGTTCAAGCGTAATTATGATCACAAAAGCCCTTGTGTTCCTCCAAACAGAAGGGAACATCCTCGGATAAAGAGGCCGCCTTCTCCTGTAGTCTTATGTGTGCCACATGCTCCACACCCCCCTCCACCTTCTCATGTTGGTGATTCCAGAAAGCAAAGGGGTTTTCCTACTGTGCGCTCTGGTAGCTCGAGCCCAAGGCATTGGGGTGTGAAAGGTTGGTTCCATGATGGTGTCAGCTTTGAAGAAGCTTGTGTGCCAATGGAAGGGAGTGACATAGTTTGGCCTTCTTGGAGGAACAAGGCCCTTTCAGCCCGCCAGTTGCCTCAGCCTTTAGCAGGACCGTTTCTTCAGGATCGTCTGATGGCAATTTCCCAGTTAACTCGTGATCAGGAACATGTATATGATTGATTCTCTTATGAGATATACTTATTTCCCTTTTTGGTTAGGGCTTGTGATTTACTCTATAATTTTTAACTTGTTCTGTATTCGCAGCCAGATGTTATATTGCCTTTGCAACCGCCTGATACACAGAACTGTTCAACTCGCAAAGCATCTTTGTCACTTATTCATGATGTTTTGCATGATGAAATCGACTTGTTCTGCAAGCAGGTAGAAAAACTCTGGTTCTGTAACATGTTTTGCATTTGATATTTGCGTGTCTCCAGATTCAATTTTAACTTCTTACAATAGAGATTGGTAGATTTTGTTTCACACTTGATGGTGATGTCAAAATGTTCTTGCAATATATAAGGTTGCTGCTGAGAACTTAATCAGGAAGCCGTACATTAACTGGGCTGTAAAGCGAGTTGCACGGTCTCTCCAAGTCTTGTGGCCTCGCGCTAGAACGAATATTTATGGTTCAAATGCCACTGGCTTGTCTTTGCCATCCAGTGATGTGGACCTTGTGGTTTGTCTTCCTCCTGTGAGGAATTTGGTGAGATATTCTTTCTACTGGTTGAAATATCCTTTGAAAGATAAATTTATAAAAACAAGCTTCATATCCAGTTGCTTTTTTCAGGAACCTATTAAAGAAGCTGGGATCTTAGAGGGACGTAATGGAATTAAAGAGACTTGCCTTCAGGTAGGCAGCAACAGTAACCTGTCTATTTCTGTTTTATAGGATTTTTTTTTTTTTTTTTTTTGTGTCGTTGAATAGTCGAGATAAGTAGGCCACGTCTAATCATCAATCCTATGTAGACAGATCTATCATATTAAGTCTAACTCTATGTGCTGTGCTAACAGTTTTATTCATAGCTGGTAGCCGCAACCAATCTTGAATTCTAGATCATTAAATGAAGGAAATTGTTAGTCAATGAGTTGTACGAAGGCAGGATAGTTTAATGGCTAACGTGATACTTTTGCAACTTGCATGTTGTCATCATTTCTATTTCCTTCTAAAGTATGCAATGTTTCAATGCTATATTTATTGTTTTGTCTGGTCGCTTGTATAATTCCTTATTCCAGCATCTCTAATTTTGAACATTTTGGCACTGTAATTTTTGTTGATTCTGGTTTTCACTCGTTGCAGCATGCTGCCAGATATCTTGCGAACCAGGAATGGGTCAAAAGTGACTCTCTCAAGATTGTTGAAAATACTGCTGTAATGCCACCATTTATTTTACTTTTTTCTGTACTTGTTATTTCATGCTTCTCATAGTTCTCTTATTGTTTACTCGTCAATTTTAGATACCAATCATAATGCTTGTGGCGGAGGTTCCTCATGATCCCATCATGACTCAGTCAAATGTTCAAACATCAAATCAAGAAGCAGAGCAGTTATGTTCTACAGGAGGAGACCATTTTCAGCCTGATACGACTAGTTCAGAGGGAAATGCTTCACCGGAATGGAGTAAGACAATGAGTAATATAAATGATGGGTTCAAGTCTGTTCGTATTGACATTAGTTTCAAGTCTCCTACACACACTGGACTTCAGACAACTGGACTGGTAACTGGTTTGCTCTAAAACTGTTTGATCTGATGTTGAACACTCAGAGTTAAACGTGATATCCTGCTGCTTTGGATGAATTCTATTATTCATCCTCTTAATATGATGTTGTGGTGAATGTGGTTTGCTGCTCATCCTTTTATCCTGATGTTGTGATCTCTCTGTACAGGTGAAAGATCTTACTGAGAGGTTTCCTGCCGTAATGCCACTTACATTGGTGCTAAAACAGTTTCTAGCTGACCGTAGTCTGGATCAGTCTTATTCGGGTGGTTTAAGCTCATATTGCCTGGTAAGTTCCCGTTTATAACTGTTATGGCGCCGTTGATGCTTGTAACCAGTAGTATGTTTCTGTGCATTTATTGTTTTAAATGTCCCTAGCTTCTCTTCTAGCAGAAATTGGATGTCGTGTGCCAACATCTTTGTTTTGTTTCTGTTTGATGTCCTTTGCATTGTAACTTCCACTCTGCAAAATTACTTGCTCGGTATACCTCTATGAATGCAGTGGCTGACCACTTTCTGTTTTCTACTATGTTAAGATTTTGGAATGTCTTCAAATTTCATTTTTCAGCATGTACTTTGTATGGGTAATTGTTTTTATATTTTATGATATTGATGACATTTGTTGTTACTTTACTATTTACAGATACTACTAATCACGCGCTTTCTGCAACATGAGCATCATCATGGCCGACCAACCAATCAAGTATGGTTAGCTGACATTTATGCAGATAACCATGCTTTGTCTGCTATTCCTTTCAATGCACGTTTTGCCCTCATTTTATGTTTTCACCATATGTATTGGTAATCTTGCAATCAAATTTGTCCCACGGATAAGAGATGTCATACAAATGGATGGGCCGGTAGTTGATGTATTAATAATATTTATTTTCAAACTCAGGATTTTGTTGAATTTTCCAATGGTTGCATAATTGCAAGATTGAGGTAGAGTACTGTATGTCTGAGACTAACTATGCACAGGTTATTCTGTTTCAATGAAGCTTCATCTAACATCACTAACAGTTCACTATTGTCTACTTATATGTAACCCATCTTTTTTACTTTGAGGCACACCTGGCTGCGAATGTCTTTTAATATGTATATTTAGGCCTATATATTTTCCTTTTGCAAATGCCTTTCCAAAGTTACATTATCGTTCCCTTTCTCTACATGTGTTGGCAATTGCTGTATGTGTGTCTAAATATTTATTATTTGACTCATGCTGTAGTCATATCTTCTGGGCATCTATATCACACACGCCTACTCATAGGAACTATGACCTTGATTTAGATTGTTGACTTGAGAATAATTTAGCTTCCTTGACAACATAATTTCTTCCACGTTTGAATAACATAAGCTGGCATTATTTTTGTAGAGCTATGGAAGTCTCCTGATGGATTTTCTATATTTCTTTGGGTAAGTGAAAGCTTCTTACATAATAACATATGCTTCTTAATGGTATCATTTATTCAGTCACACATTTATCAATTAACATTTCCTTTCTATAATAAAAGTTTTCATTATCTACTTAAATATGATAAAATTATATAACCACAAATTTGGTCATAACTATATTTGCTCCAGCAATGTCTTTGAACCGCGACAAATGCGTGTTTCAGTACAGGGAAGTGGTGTATATTTGAAAAGGGAACGTGGCTGCAGGTAAAGAAATAGTCTTTCTTAATTTACGCTCCATGAGGTTTCCCATATGCTCTTTTGTTCTTGTTGACCTTTTATCTTTTGCAGTATTGATCCACTTTACATTGACGATCCCCTATTTTTGACAAACAATGTCGGGAGAAACTGTTTCCGTATACATCAGTGCATCAAGGTCAGGTGGCAGTCTTCGTGGTTCTTGTGGAGCATTGTAATGTTCTTTTGGTGATACTAATAATTGTTTATTTTCTGCTTATTTTGGATAAATAATTACTTATGCAGGCGTTTGCTGATGCATATGCAATGCTGGAGAACGAGCTCACATGCGTCCATAATGATGATGACAGTAATGCCAAGCCCCACTGTGAACTGCTTCCAAAATTAATTCCAAGCATTGCTCATTTCGTGGGGTCCTAATATTTTGTGGAGCATGCCTTTTCCGGGTAAGTCTCTAAACAAATACTTTTATGTTTTTCTGGGTAAGTCTCTAAACAAATACTTTTATGTTCTCTTCCTCAAGTAATTGCATTTAACACGCAACACATCACTCTTCTTTTACTAGCAACTCCAACAAGACTCCCAACACATTTACCAAACTAGTTCTAGGATTAACCAACAGTCTAATGACATGCCTCAGGAAGTATCCAGTTGCTCACTCTAGTACTTGTCTAAATTTCAGGACCGACTATATATTTCTGCATCACATTGAAAGCGGAACTTATGGCAGCAAATTTGAAGATTGTTAGTGGTCAAAACTCATATTGATTTGAGAAATGCACCCTGTGGAAGAAGCTGATCGATCTGCTAATCGAGACAACACTTGCCGTCAGATACCTGGTTTGCTTTTTTGCGATCCGGTGTGGTTTGAGCAGCATAAGCAGTAATTTCCTATTACCTTGTTTCCTTAGATTACTCATTGGATAATGTCTTTTTCAAGCTAAAGAAACACATAGATGTTTATTGGCTGCCGGTTTGCATTGTTGTGCAGTTTGCAATCACCATCAAATCGGCAGGCTTAAATACACATATTTAGGAATGATTATGCTCGGTGGGTTTGAAGCTATCATAACCCAGCTCGAGTAATTTAAAAAAATTGCTGCATGCCAAGGATACACTTCTTTGAAGGACCCATGATGTGAGGGCTTAGAAGGGATTATTTATTTGTGAGAGATGCACTGCTTGGGAAGTTACGGAATTCGAGCATTGGAGGTTGAGTTTGACATACATTTATGATTATAGCACCTTCGTAATTGTACCCCATTAAATGGTAATGCATATGTATCATATGTAAATATATATATATGCAGATGAGTGAAGTTTGTTCAATGGATTTGGCAACCTGGGGTTATCGCACAGCGGACATTTGATGTAATCTATTGTGAAATGTGTAGTATTAGAGAATTGGGAGGTTGATGTATGTTTGATTTGCAATTGGGAAGGGTTGAATTTTCTTACAAGAGTAACAAACATCCGTTGAATGTTTCAGGCATAGTACACCACTGTAAAATTAGTTACTTGTAATATTGAAGGCTGGAAAAAAAAATTCAATAGCATTGGCATCTTACTTCTTGTTGGCTGCATATTTTTTTGGCCATGATTTCAGCTATAACGAAGCACCTATGGTGTGTGCCTAAACTGGCTCACTTATTCCAACAGCATATTTTGTAGTTTACATCTATTCTTTGCCAGAATGAAGCACCTATGGCTGTATTATAATTTAGGTGTGTGCCTGAACTGGCTCACTTATTCCAACTGCATCTCTTTGTAGATTACATCTGCTCAACAGAAGAATAGATTAACGTTCTATGCACCAAGTTACACATAGTGCAACGCTAGTTATATACATATTGGCTGCGTTTGTTAAACAATTTTTTTCTCTCAAAGGAGCTTTTTAGTTAAAAAAAGTTGTTTGTAACAGCTTTTTTAACCAGTTAAAAAAGCTGTTTGGTAAACAACTGTTACAAACAGCTTTTTTGGGCCTATCCGCCAACTTAGAAAAAGCTGCTTTTAGCAGCGTTTTCATTCAACTGTTTGTTTATATAAAAATTAAATGTCTTGATTGCCCTTATTTTTTTCTCTTCACAAAAAAAAAGCAGCGAGACTGCGAGAGAGCATATGGCTAGGAAGTGGAATTAATACAATGAATTCAAAAGCATCAAATCTCTTTTGTTCGGTACTCTGCTTACTTTTACTTATGAAATATTTTAATTTTATTATTAATTATATTTTTATCATATTTAAATCACTTTAATGAATATTTAAAATATTAATTATTTATATTTCCTTAATAAAATTCAACATAAATTAGAATGAAAAAATATGTTGATGTCCTTATAAGTAATTTTACATGTTAAAAACTAATAAAAATAGCTAACTTTACCAAACACTTTTTGACAAACTGCTAACACGATCCGCTGGTCAAAACAGCTAACACAATCCACTGGTCAAAACAACTAATGTAATAAGCTAACAGCTAACAGCTAACGGTTGATTACCAAACAAGGCCAAAACCTACCATTAGAACATAAAATCTTCTCTTGTGATGAGGGCATGCCCAAGAGGCTCTTTCTTGGCGTTGTCATATCCTAAACTGAATTGCTATTTACTGCTCCCCCTATTACCACCTACCGCCCCCTTAGGACCAAAATATCTTTCTCATTTTTTTAAACCTCTCTCTCTCTCTCTCTCTCTCTCTCTCTCTCTTCCCCCGTCGCCTTGCCGCCCCCAAATCAATTCCGAGAAAATGAAAAACCCTCGCCACGACCGAGACAAAGGTCTTATGATTCCTTGATAATTTTTTTTTTCGATTAGTAAAAAAAAATTAAAGTTTTCAGTCGGTTGGCCGACCGAAGTCGACAGGAGCCGACGCAGGTGTGGTCTGCTTTTGCATGCGGTCGCACCTTAGGCAGCTGGCATTGCTGGCCAGCCGAACCCTAGGCGGTAGGACGCACCCTATACAGCCGCCATCGCTGGTTGGCCACACCCAAGGCATCACTGGCCGGCCGGCCGACTGGCCTGATTTTGATTTTTTTTTTTTGTGAAATTATTTAAATATGTTCAAATATATAAAAATATAATATTATTAATTTTTTCATTTAAGTTAGTTTAAATAAATCTTAGTTTAGTAGTTAATAGTATTATGTTACTTATAGATAATATATTATATATGTTACTTATAAATAATATATTATATATGTTATTTAAATGTAATTATATTAATATTGATAATAATACTTTTTAATTATATTAATTATTAAAAGGATAATACAACAAACTTTAGTATTTTTATAAAATGAATTATTTGTAATATATTAATAAAATTGTTTATTCAGTAATTATTAGTTTTAAAAATTGTAATTAGTATTCTAATGTAAGTTGAAAAATTGTATATAATCACAAAGTGGAATTATATTAATTATGTGTTTACGAATAATTATTATATTATTTTTAATACTTTTTAAGAAAATAATTACTTGTAATGTTTAATAATGTATTTTAGGAAATAGTAATAGTCAATAATATTAGTTTTGATTAGGTTGCGTAAATATTAGTAATAAATATTTAATTGTAATTGTTGTATAATAATTAATAAAATTTTAAGAATTTAAAAAGGTTGTTTATTAATTATTAGTTTAAGTTAATGATTTAGACTTGTGCTAGACCTGTTTAAGTTAATGATTTAGACTGGTGCTAGACCTACGCGACCGACTACCGATAGAGAGGCTGCAAGTCTTACGATTATGCACCCCAACACACGAGGAGTCAGTATGTAGATGCTTTCGCCAGTCGTGTGAGAAAAGTTGAGATGTTGCGTTAAATTCACATGAAACATACTGGTCACGCTGAGCAGACTGGCGGTTCGAGACGGATCGCTCCGGTACAGACCAGTCAGTAGTCCCGCTTCTAGCAACGGGATGATTATTATGAATCGACAGCCAAGAGGCTGTACTTCTCAGGGGATTTTGAGGACTTCGAGTCTACAGATGACCAGGACATTCCTCTCCCACGACAGGCTCCTGCGCGACATGCTCCTCCACTGATGGGGGTCGTTTTGCGAGCTTTGGATCCTCATGTAAATAATTTACGTACTTATTATTGTTTATCATTAAATATTTTTATTTAATAATAACATATCATTGATACAGTCAGTCACAATATGTCATATAT